AAATAGACCGATTAATGAATGTTGCTTTTTGCGCAGCGCCAGAAGATACGAGTTAAAGAACTATTGATGTGCTGGTTTCAAGTACACATATTGATAAAAATGATTTTAAAAAAGAACGGTTGCAACAGGAAAAAGCGCGAAAAAAAAATTAATAGGATTGGAAAATAATAAAAATATTGGCTCCGTGGGAATTTAAAACTTCCCCACTCTCTACACCTCGACACTGAAAACCCTCGTCCTGAATTTCAGAAACGTAGAATGACTAAGTTTGGGTTAGGTTCCTCCGCCAACGCGTTGAAGTTTTCCCCGAAAATCAATATTCACAGAAATATTGGACTGATAATCCCCCCGCGATGTACATCGATTAATACCGATATCAAAAGATTCACGTGGTTCGTATATAGTATTGAATTTTACACGCTCCAACGCTCGTCCATTCCACAACCTATCAGTTTTTCTATATTTTTGTGATACCCTCTAAAAAATGCGCACACTAAAGGTTTCACTATTTTTTCTGAGTTTTTTTAATGCTTAAAAGTCATTAAAATCAGTCTGCTTGTATTTAATACTCTACCTTTGTTGTACACACGAGAATGAAAGAATTAGAAAAAGTCTCATTAAGCACATTAATAAGCTTGAATTCGCAATAAAATTTATCGTGAAATTGATATAAAATTCATGGAAATGGAACCACGTTTTCACTTATTTATTATTCAACAAATTTACCTGACCTAATTCGCAGTGAATTTTTAAAGCAAACAATTTCGAAAAGAATCTCTTCTCTCTCTTTAACGTTTATAATTTTATACGGCAAATTAATTTAACTATATCGACAACTGCTATTTCAAATGTTTCCGAATCAATTGCACAAAGCTTTTGAGGTTTGAAATAATAACTAGATATTTCAACAATATTCGAAACAGAGTTAAAATACAACGTACATAGATATCTCATTTAGAATGGAATGAATTATTAAATCGCGATAAAGAAGACTATTTCAATCTGTAACGAGTCTTTTTTATAGCGAAATTTTTAAGGGAATCTCGTGTTAATGTTATTTTGTTACCAAGTGTAATAAAAACTTTGGATGCGTAGATATTTGTCCCATAAACATCCTATAATTTCATATTTCACGTACAACACTCTCCTGAATGAAAGTTAGCAAGTAACTTTTGATTATGTGCTCTACAGCTTCCGACCGTTCACGGAAATCCATAAATTTATGTATGCGCCCTTATCGTACAGAATTAACAAATGCATACAACGTTTTAATAAAAGACATACACTTTTCCATGTCCTTAGTCAAATAACCAAATGACCAACTAGTGTTATTTAATTTATGTTTCATATTTTATAATTTTATTTTCTAACCGTTTCGTTATCGTCGATTAATAATAATTTTTGAAGCAGATATTACAAAGAACATCGTAAACGAAATACTATGCCACGAACACCTGCTCAATTATTACGTAATGTTAACTAACTGACGAGGAAGTTGAAAATTATACGCACACAGAGAATTCTTCGAACGAATAAGGACGAAGTATATCGGAATTCAGTGCACCGAAGAATTCTAACCATTTCCTTCGACAAGTATATTTAAATTAGAAATTCCGACCGAATATTGGCTGTGTATACCCACGTATTGCATAAAATGCACTTTACCCTTTTCCGAGCGCATTACATTCATAATGAAACATTCAAAATCCGTAATTGCGGTTTCTCGATGCAATACAATTCCCAGCCAGTATTGGTTTTCGATGAGTTGCCAGTTATACTATCCGATCCGTACAGCATTCGTTAACAGTTGAAAGTAGTTTAAAAGTAAAACTAGATTGGGACTAATCATCGAAGAAATAAACACAAATACCGTAAAAATGTGTGCATTTAAAAAAAGATGAAAACTAATTTATTTAAATTTTAATATCGTAGCTTGTCGTAGTAACGTGTTTAGCAATTTTCCCCCCATTGAAGTTCGTTCAGAGTAACGAGCGGTTGGCGGCCACTACGTTTATTATCCATTGCACATAATTTAATACTGAACGTAGTTTTATTCGTGCAGAAATAAAACGAAGATTTCAGAAATACGAGACACTCGTATATTATTTGAACAATGCTCCAGCTACAATGTACTCGAACTGTTCATGCAACGCGTAATTTATGGGTTCTCTCATCGTAGAGAATTTATATAAATGTCCACGGTGAATGGTTTTTAATATTTATACTTCACACGTAGCGTTATCAACATCTTGATACGACGTCGTTTTCTGCGACGACATTAATATAGCCTGTTACCGCGGAGTATCACGTGCACTTGCTATAACGCAATTTATCTGGATATTTTGAAAGTGGGTTAAACGGAGACAGGTTATTATAAACAGTTATCTGCGAACAGAAGCAAAGGTAAATGCAATCTACTATTTTTTTTCTTCCATATACAGCGACGAGTAAACAAAATTATTTTTATTCAAACGAATAGCGTTAGGAATGACAAGAAAAATTTATTTTGTTTTACGGAAGCCAGAAGAAACAAGTTAAATTTATTCGATCGACCAATTCTCTTTTTAAACTATTATCTTCTACGTCCTCCTTTTGGTTTAACGACAGCTTGCAAGATCCTTGACTAATTGAATTCCACGCAGCCTCAGTTATATTCTATAGATCACTTCAATTTCGCGGCGGATTAACGTTATTCTCGTTCAATCTTTTGGAATCGTCACCATTCGTAGAATTGTATTATATACTTTAATTTCAGAATTTTAAATAGTCGAAAACCACAAAGCAGGAAGAAGGTTTACGTTTTTGATACATATAAATATTTAACAAAAGAGAAACAGTGTTTAAAACAAATCTTAGACATTTCAAGGGGATCGGTCGATTCTGTGCACACGAAGGAATTTCTAGATTACAAATTAACTTTCGCTGTAAATTTTGAAATACGCGAAGCGTATAATACCGACGCTGCGAGAGAAAAGTTTCAAGCTCCGTACTTAAAACATCTTCGACTGCGAAGTTCCGCGGGATTGTAAGCTTTCTGCTTCGAAGAATCAGTGGGAGATACAGTGGAAATGAACGCGAAGCCCCGTCATTTATTTAATACGCCAGTCTGTTGAAAGACGAAGTGCCTGAAGATGCAACGCAATTAGAAACTGGGATCCAACTTAAACAAGATGAATGACTTCTTTCTCCGGGAGGAACAATTGATTGCCACAAATTAATTTCCAAGTATCCGTTCCGTATAAGTATAGAACTTTCTTTATCCGAACTAATAGACAGACCATCCGCGACTCAATACGGCTTTCAGGCCACAATTTTTAAGCCTGGTTTAATCTTATTATCATAAATAATTCAGCATTGGAATATTTATGAAACGCCTGAAGATCGATATCTGTTCATCTACGTTGTATACGTGGGTTAAATTATTATAATTTCTTGTTTAAATTGATTTTCTAGACTCTATTGTAGTCCTTTACAGGAAACTTATAACATTAAAATTTCTAAGAATTGGTATATTTATGGCATTTTTTGTATTTGAAAGTGTATTACACTGAGCACATTTTCTATAGAAAAGATAAATATTCTATCTTTCTCTGATTGTGAGCATATTGCAACTGACAAGAATTAAAAAAAAAACCATGTTACAATATGGGTAAAGTATAGACCTGGTTTATATGAAATATAGTAGCAGAAATAGCATGAATGTAGACTGTCTCATAATTTTCGCGTAGTTTCGAGTAACACGAAGGTTGGCTGAAACGTTCCATCCAATACTACTTGTAATTCATTCCACGGACAGATCTTCCTTCCCCACATGCTACGTTTATTGTACACGAATGTCCAAGAATTGCCAACTATGAGTATTTCGTGTATCTAATATATAATTCTATATTGATTTTTTGATAACGACACATTAAATACCTTTACCTGCAACGCAAGGCCATTAAAGGTTAACCACGATAAAAAATATTTATCGATCACTGCTCTAAGAACATATTAATAAGTCTGCGCGACAAGATAAACATGATAAGGAAAACATCGTACACGGTCAATTAATCCACTGATTCTAAATAGAGCATGTTTACTTTGTCATGTAAAATTGAGATGTCCTTCAAGCAACGCTTACTATTCGTTACAGTACCGATAAGATGTTCAAATACTGGACAGCAGTCTGTCTTGGTCAGTGTCTAACGCAACCATCGTTGTTCCTAATAATTTTTAAAATTCACAACTAAGTTAGTAAAGCTCCATTAATACGCATTATTTGAATTTTGAATCATTAAAATCATTCAATCCGTTCAGAAGTTATGATTTCCTAAACGTACTCATGAAATTTCAGTGAAACATGTCAACGTATGGTCAGACATTATATTTTCGGTAAGGAATTTTTTTCTCGAAACTGCGTAGGATTTCGGGTATATGTCTATTCACCAAAAACGATTATAATTGACCCCTACAACTGGAAATAATTTTTTCAGATCGATTTGAACAAATTTTGTTTCGTCGAATAATTTAGGCACCTATTCGAATTTTTGTCTCAAAAGCCCGTAGGATTTCGGGCATATGTCTATTGACCACAAATAATTGTAATCGACCCTCGTAACTAAAAATAATTTTTCCAGAATGATTTGAAATTTTTTAATTTAATTTTTGAATACCTTTTTAACGAAGCCTCCATCAAGAAATTGTTATTCTTGATTTTCGTCTTATTTTGTGGCTTCTAGCCGTATAGAACACCCTGTATGGTACAGTTCAATTCGAATGCGTTAAATAAATAAATCCAGAACTATCAGTCTTCAACTTGCAAAGCCTGAACAAAGACAAAAACTTTCTTACACCCTGAAGGAAATTAACTATTCAAACGAACAAACGAACGCTGCTTTCGATGATCACCGATTCGATAAAAATAACCAAGTCAAAGAACCGTATCGATGGGGCTATTAGCGTACATATTGGCAAAGTTTCACCGTGGAACGTACAGGGTGGATGGTCGGAACAACGTCCTACCTTTCATCCAGCTTGAAGGAGGACCTCGACAGGTCGCTCCAAGCGCTCATGCTTCTGCTGCGTCTTCTGCAGGATGACTGGGGCGCGAGCAGTCTGGAGCTGCTCCGTCTCCTAGTGGACGCCAGGTTCTCCGCCTGGAAGTAGACCCTGGGCGGGTGCATCTTCTGCTGTGCATTCGGTGGCGTCGAGGACGGTGTAACGGCCGTCGAGGTGTGAAGTTCCGGCAGTGCCTCGTAGTCCCATGCTCTCGCGCCCATCTCGAGCAAGGGAACCGACGAGGCAGCGTTCTGTCCTCGCAAGGGATCCCGAGGCTTGCGCTGATGAAACAGGGCGAACAGCTGACGGAACGCCGACTCGTTCGCCCGGCGTTCCTTTTTTCTCGGTGGAAACTTCACTTTGTCACGCGTTATCGTTTAACCGGTCTTTAACAAACGAATGAATCCACGATGCCCCTCCGACGACATCATCGTTGTCCCCGCGATCATCACATCTCGAATTACCTTCCCGTCACACGGTGCGTCCATACACGGTGTCTCGACAATTCGCTGATCGTATCGACTTGACGATCAAACCGATCGAACGGTTCCAAGTCTCTCTCCATCGCGACTCCGTGACTTTAATCGTAGGTTGCTCGACTTTTTATCCGTAAAATCGCGCGTTATCGAACACCGTTAATCTCACGACAGGGCGTTTAATCAGTTTTTTAATCAGATAGGATGCCTCGAAACCGGGCAGCTTTCTTCTTCAACAGATTTAACGAAAGACGAAGCTGTCGTTTCACGGGTAAAAAGCTGCGCGGCAAAGAAATCGCTCTCGATCCTCCTCCACGGTGACATAATTAACGAAGACCGTGTCAACGGTATCTCTGTATGCTTGTTTGAAATAAAACACGTGCAACAAAGCGCCCGAAATCAATAACTACCGTCTCGTGGAATCCGTCCTGTCAAATGTACCGCGAAGACGATCGTCGACGATGCGTGAAATTACTTTCTACGGCGTCGATCGAAGGATGTAAACATTCGCGGACGAATTCGCGTTCTAGAAAATGGTGATGCAATTTAACCAGTGCGACGCATAGCGAATTGAAACTCGTCTTGCGCGCGGTTGTATACTTACGGTATCAAAGTCCAGAAAACTTGTTTAAAAATTACGCACGAAATAACGTTATAACGACAACAGTGGAACAATTTCAACAACGATTCTCAAAATTAACATCTATCTCGTCGCGACGATAATCTTTCGAACTTTAACCTCCGTTGGAAAAATATTTTCTACGTTTATCATTGAATTTGTGTCAAGTAACAGTCGCTCTCGCGATCGTGGCCATAGCGTTCACAGACATCATGCGCCATTATCAGTCGTCGTCTTCGTCGTACGCGTTTCCATTGTTCTCGTCGTCGGTTCCATGGATAATTATCTTCTTCGAAACACACTGTCACGATTCCATCCACCGACGCATCCGTACACGTTTCGTGGAGCAGACGGGAACCTCGTAAACAAACCGCGACGACGTTCGCCCGGAAAAGCGTAATTGATTGCTCCGGAACGAGCGACGACTCGTAGCAGCCTCTCGCCACGATAGAATTTCGATTGACCCATGCACGGGAGTCACGTGATGACGGTCAGCAGTCGAAGGTCATGACCGTTGCAATATCGTCCGGACGTGCTCGTCGGAACGCGTTCGAACGTTTGACATTTGAACTGTGCTCAAAAGCGTTGCGACAGCGAAGCGATCGATGCATCGAACTCCGACGATTGCATATCCTTTTGCGGCGTGCGTGCTCCGAGGTCTTTCAAAAATCCTGCCGTCGAATCGTCTAAAACGTCGTGAAACTCACGCACATCGAACAACAATTATTGACCGAGACAGTTAACGTTAAAACGTTATTGTCTGTTTCGTCCTCGTCCGAGTCCGCGTTCACCGTCTCGAGGCAGAATCCTACATGATACGACATGGTGGTTAGAGTCAAAGGATCGGCAAATCATCCACGATCATCGATCCGATGCTCGCGATCGAGCGTAACGACGTTGGCAGCTTGGACTCATCAGCTGATCACCGGCGCGAGGCGACGTTCACACAACACTTTTGTTCCCCCGGTGTCCGGCGATTCGACGATCAAACGCGTCGACGGTTTACTGCATCGACCTTGACATAGCGAACTATTATCGCGATCGACGGAACAGGTTCGTCCAGATTCTCTCCGGTCCGCGAAAGTTTCGCGCGAGGATCTCGTGCCAGTGGAAATGGCGGAAAGGCGGGCAGCCTCGGCGATTAGTTCCCTGTAACGTGTCACCCCGAGAGGGTTGGGTGCTGGGTTGTCCTCGTCTACTGGTTTTTCACTCTGCGAGTAGCCAGCTCGCAGCTCGCCGCCCCGTACTGCGGCACATCGTAGCAGTTTTCTCTCGTGCTCCGCCACCCCTTGCTCTCTCTTCTCCGTTCCACAACGTTCCATCCCTCTCTTTCCCGTACCCGTAGCCGCTGGTCGTTTCGCCTCGTTCGCTATCATCCCATCTCCCTCTCGTCCTGTCCACGCCGCTTGCCTTTTCTCTGTCACCCCAAAAGGGTCGCATCCTCGTCTCGCCTCCGGCGAATGCGTGCTGAATCGGCGCACACATGCACGTGGCGCCGCCGTTGTCAAGGCGACTGCGCCACGGAATACCACGGATGTTTCTACGTTTCGCATCGTCCACGTTCAGATTCGTCCTGTCAGACACCCTCGCGAAACCACCTTCGTGACATGTGATAAATAACCTCTGCTGCAGGATTCGAAACACTCGTGTCTTATTGACGGTGCTCGGATTCCGCGCGGGATCTCCGACGACAACGAGGGTGCTCTTATGGGAGGCGTTCTTCGAGGGTCGCGAACCTTATCTTGTGATTTAAGTCTCTGAGAATTTTAAATTAACGTCTGTGCAGAGCTGTAATCCTTCGAGTTATAATAGAATTTATTTTTGAGATATAATATAATAGACGTTAATTTTAAATTAACGTCTGTGCACAGCATGGTTCGCTTTAACCCTTCGAGTGCTCGAATATTGTACGCTAGTGCGAACGTCAATATTTAAAACATGCCTTAAATAATAGAATTTATTTTTCAAATATCTATATATGCGTCCGTAGAACCTGAAGGGTTAAGTATGAACCGCAGTGAGTTGTTTGAATAATTGGATAGCGACGAACGGAGTTGGAGGAGAAAAATCTCCCTCGAAGGAACGAACCTATTAGGTGATTACGTATTGGTGTCACAACGTCGTTTCGTTATTACGGGCCAACGGACACCCTTCGATAGGACGATCTGATTAATTTTATTACAACGACCAGAGGTTGTACGGCGCTCAAAGCGAAGTTATTTCGGAATAGTGGAACGGGATGAATGGATAGCTGGAGTACAGCATCGATTCGGGCCGGGAACGACCCCAAACTTCCGTGACGAGCTTGCGCTTTAAGGGAGAACGTAGCGCGGAAAACTCGAAGTTTCAATAAGCCACGTGGGCTTCGACTCTCGCGACGAAACGGGACTAACGCATGCTTCGAAATAAAATATAGACCGTTAACTTTTCGCTAAATTCACTCTTTACCAGTCCAATCAATTTTTCACCGAGGCAGTAATAATAATAATTATAATTTTAGAATTTTTATCCGATCGTTCGTTTCTCTACTCGATCCGGTTCAACTCAGAATCTATTTTATATATTTTAGGGAACAGAATAAGACTCTTTACTAGTCCAATCGATCTTTCACGGAGTCAGGAAGAATAATAATTCGATAAAAATTCGTGTACTCGACTCCTATAGGAAACTAATTGCTACGATGTTAAATTGTAAAATCTGCACATTTTTAGAATTTTTATACGTTCGTTCGTTTCCCTACTCGATCCGGTTTAACTCAGAATATGCTTCATGTATTTTAGGGAACCGGATAGGCTATTTATCATCCCACCTTTGCTCGACTGGTGTAAATATTGAACGATTCTACAGAAAACTCAGTTGCGTCTGTTTGCTACTACGTCACGGGAAAACGGTTTGAGGGCTCGCGAAGTTTAAAACGTTTGCTTGAAGTAGGCCAACTTGAAACATCTACCGTGTAACGTCTTTAAATTCAGACCGATGATACGTACATTCGAAATCAAAATTTTATTATCGTTTGATGTTAGAAATCTCTTTCCCCCATTTTAGTATACTTCGGTAATTCTTTGCTACCATCCTTTCTATGAATGTTCCCTCACCAATCCATTCTTCTCATTCGAATCAGACCTATTGATTTTCGTTTCGTAGAACCAAGTAACATTTGACCGATATTACTCCATTTTCATATTTTCTATGCACGAAGTTCAGTCGCCTACTTACATGTTCCTCCACGAATAGTATTTCGATATGTTTCTATTTATTTTAGTTCCCTTTCGTTTCAGCTTTTCTGGACACTCGCCAAACTCTTTATAAGTATAACATATAGACTTTATAAATATTGAACACGTAATGGATGTACGCAGATTCTGTCAAAGACGACACAAAATATTCCAAACCTAGTAAAACACTTCGCATATACGGCAGAATCCCCATTATTCGAGCACTCTGTTATCTAAAAATATTTTATGTGCAAACAGTTACACATATAAAGTTACTCTACGCATGACACGATTTATTGTACACGCGAATAAAAATCTGGTCTAAAGTGAAAAAGTTAGTTCGAGATGCAGAATAAAATTTATTTTTCGAAATGCATATGCGAAGACCGATATCAAGACAGTGAAAGAGAAAACTGCTTTAATCCCCGAAAATTCATTTATCCAAGCATCCATGGCCGATTTTGGATAATCGAGATTGTATTGCTATGCAAAGTAGATTAAGTCTGTTAATAATTTATTGCGCTAATTTACGCGAAAGGATCACTGCGAAGCTTTGCCAAATATTCAATAGAATCGCTAAGCGTACTCATCGCCGGATAAAACAGGTGGGAATTGCTGTAAAACAGCTTCGCGTTCTTGGAAAGACAATGAGTGAGGTAACATCGCGCGGCGCACTCTGGGGGTCAACAAAAGCGTCACACTGCACGCTAAGTGCAAACGAGAAAGCTCGAAAGCTCGAAAGCTTTGTAAGCACAGTGTATGCAGTCGATAAAGCAGGAAAGTACGTTTTCCATGCAACGGAACTCGTTGATATCAACTCGCATCTCTCTTTTGGTCCTCCGCCTCAACGACGCGTACAACTCGTTGACCCACAAAAGAACCTTCTTTAGCGACAACTTCCGGCGAGAGAGGCGTGTGACACAAAAGAATATGTAGTCCGGGGAAATGGGTTACAAGCAACTACAAGCTAGAATGAAGTGTAATACCGTATAAAAGAAATAAGATTTGCAACAAGCTTGCTTTTACGGAAGTCTCTACTTTACCTAGAGATATTAGAAAATCGATCAACGAATCGAACATATGGGAGTGTTCAAAGCGATTAGAGGATCTACCTACTTTAATTAGTATCAATTTAAGTCAGAGAT